AAAGAGAGAAATATATCGGTTGCATGCATTCGTCATAAGGATCAATACGAGGTACTTGTACCGGAGTGTAGGGAACAAAGCCGAACCTGAGTGTGTTCGGTACTGTTGCCACTGTCGCCGATGTAACTATCGGCAGCCGCTACAATGGCTGGATGACAATATTCGGTTGTGCATATTCTCATAAGGATCCAATACGAGGTACTTGTACTGAGTGTAGCGAGCAAAGCGAACCTGAGTGTGTTCGGTACTGTTGCCACTGTCGCCGATGTACTATACGGCAGCCGGCTACAATGGCTGGATTGATAATTTCGGTTGTGCATGTATTCGTCATAAGGATCCAATACGAGTACTTGTACCGGAGTGTAGCGAACAAAAGCGAACCTGAGTGTGTTCGGTACTGTTGCCATTGTCGTCGATGTAACTATACGGCAGCCGCTACATGGCTGGAATTGACAATTTCGGTTGTGCATGTATTCGTCATAAGGATCCAATACGAGGTACTTGTACGGAGTGTAGCGAACAAAGCCGAACCTGACGTGTTTCGGTCTGTTGCCACTGTCGCCGATGTAACTATACGGCAGCCGGCTACAATGGCTGGATTGACAATATTCGGTTGTGCATGTATTCGTCATAAGGATCCAATGTGAGGTAACTGAGTGAGGGAGCTGGAACTAAGGAATCAAGAGACGAACGCTGAAAAAACCGAATTCTCAACTTTTTCGTCACAGTAGCCGACTGTCCGATTTTTTGGAAAGTGAGGTATTAATAAGGGGGCTTTCAGTACCGGTACTGGTACTGGTAAATCCGATCTGGGATCTGTCACTTTTCTCGGGCTTTCTTGGTCAGCTCTTGGTCCATACCAGGTAAATCTTCTCTGGATCTTTGGGTTTCTTCATACCAGATCCTTGGTCACGTAAAAAAAAACCGAATTATTTGAGCATGCTGGGGAGAGATGATGTTTGTTACAAAATTTACTGTTTCTTGGTATTATGCTTTACCACTTTTTATTGTTTACAAAAAGAATGCTTGTGGAACTGTTGGCAAAAAGGCTATGATACTACAGCCGTTGTACGATATGGTACTGTACTCGAGCTCGCGCGGTGATTGCTCAGCCCTTCATCCATTAAGGATAGAGATTAAAGCCTATCCACGTTTCAAGTCGCCTCCCAAATCAAATCAGCCATTTTCATGCGATGGATCGAGAACTCACTCCAGAACAACTCACCAGGTGAGGGTTGCTAGCTAATAGTGGAAGCGAGCTCCATGAACAATGGACAACACAGCCAACGCTGCTGACGGCCGGGGTGCTCCCTCTCAGGGGGGAGATAATCAAGGAGGAGACGCCCTAAGAGGAGGCGGTGCCATGATTGATACCACAACGACGGTTCCACCCATCACCACGGCCACCTTGGCGCCTTCGGAAGAGATCATTGCAATTCCTCATTCCGTTAAAGGTGGCCAGGAATTCATCATCACTAGGAATGGACAAAAGTTGAAAATAAAATGCCCTACCAATCTGCGAGGTGGACAAAAATTAAAAATCCAACTGGTGCCTCCCGACAAGAGGGCTTTTCTGGTTCCAGGTGAGTGACGGACGCCATCGTTTTGGGATGGGAGCAAACATTGCCGCTCACACATTGCCTTTTTTTTGTATCTCCCTGGCAGTCCCAGAGGGAGTCAAAGAAGGCGAAACGTTTAGTTTTGCCTTTAAAGGACAGAGGTTCCGGGCCAAGTGTCCTCCCAACACCCAGCCTGGGTTGTCCATAAGGGTCACGCTGCCGGCTAGCAAGGGTAAATTCCAATGGTCTGAAACAGAGATCAAAGATGGACCTGCTATTCCGCCAGGAAAGAATTGCATGGTCGCTTTGGCCGGTGTTCGAGTGCTCGTGCGCAACAACGATGAGGAAGCGACAAGACACTTTCGATTCACAGTTCCCTCCTGCCTATTCTCTTCTTCGGTACCAGCGCAGGAACCTCGAATCACAGGATGGGCGCCAACGTTTCATGCCGACGACCAAAAATTCCATTGGTTTTGCTTCGGTTCCGCTCCCGAGAGAGTCAATACTCAATATGTTTTGGATCGTCAAACTGATTTGGAGGCTGGGTCATTCCACCCCACAAATTCTTCGTGGGTCCCCGTATTGGTTGACCAGAAGCTGAACCTGGTGGCCGCACAAAACATCGTTATGGACGGCACCATTACAGATCAAAACGGCAAACAAATCTTCAATCAGGAAGATATGCTGATGTTTCAGCGAAAAGACATCAAAGAGAAACATGAATTCTTTTGTCATTTGGGAGCACTCTTGGCGAGCAGCGAAGGGCTGTGTGATGGTCAAGTGCGCCAGTCGCATATTCTGGATGATAGCATGGAGTTTGTGGGCAATCTCACAGACAAACAACTCAAGAGACAGTGGTGGAGAGTCAAAATAGCAACCCAGGACGACAACGAAGGGGAACGAAGCGATACCAAGGCATGGTTCCAGAGTTTGGTGAGAGAACTACTGAGTTTAGACTTGGGTATTTGGCAACAAGTAAGGAATGCTGGCCTGGAGCCTAGCCAAGCCGCAACTCAAGGCAATGGTACGTAAGAAAGGAATTGCCCAAAGTTGGATTCAAAGGAAGTGCCAATCCTCAACCGCTGCCTAGCATTAAAATACTTTCGTGTCCTTGGTCGGGTGTTGGGTAAGGCTTTGATACAGGGCTGCCCCCTGAGCGAAGTCAACTTGAGAGATTACCTATTCAAGTATTTGTCTGGATGCCCACTGGATATGAGTGATCTGGGAGCAATCAGCCCCAGCCTTGCCGTTAGTCTTTGCTACTTTCATGAGCTGGCCCAAGCACAAGAACTTGACAAATTCTTGGCCATGACACCGTTGACGTTTACTCTCCCTCCAGAACCATTAGCAGGAATCACGGAGGAAGTTACGCTAGTTCCATGGGGTGAGAAGCGACTGGTGACAAGTGGAAACTATGCCAAATTCATGGAGGAAGCTTGGCGGTATGTTGTCTTGAAGCGCCTTCGTCCGCAGCTACAGGAGCTTGTCGCTGGGATCCACGACGTGATGCCACACGAAGCCATGCTGCAGCTCTTGAATCCACAAGAACTCAAGACTTGTCTCTGTGGTTTTCCCGAACTAAAAGTTGAAGAATGGCAACAATTCACAACGTACACCGGTCCCTATTCGGCCCTGGGACTTGAGCATCCGCACATACAATGGTTTTGGCAAATCGCAGCAGGAATGGACTACATGACGAGAATGAGACTACTTCAATTCGTCGCCGGAATTCATTATAATTGGGGTGCGAACGATTTTAGACTTCATTCGGCTGGGTTTGATGTGCTGCGTCGTCGCGATACTGGCAACCGCCAATTTGTGATACGAGGGCTTCCTGCCATGACTTCGGACATTGGAATCAGGTGAGTACCTTGGCGCCATGTTCTCATCATGATGAATACATTGCCGTATCAGCACTGAAACTCGTCGCCTCTCACTTGCACTTGCATACCATTTTAGCCCAAAAATCAACAGAGGATTCGGCATTGGCGGCACCTGTTTCCTGGAACTCCCACCTTTTACTTCCGTCAATGAGATGAAACTGACTCTTTTGTCGAGGCTCGACGTACACCGCAAAAGCACTTAGCGAGTCATATTTCACACGCACTATGCACACTAGCTCCCGCGGTTCTTTGGGGTTGCTAACGAGTATAGCCAGCGCATCTATTTCTCTCTTGAACTCTCTCGTCTCATGTCGTCGTCGTTTCAGACTTGCCTAGATCAACCTCTGTGAGCTGTTGCCGTAGTTTCTCTCTTCGGGGATCATTCGGAGACGCCGCCAGTAGCATGTCTCTTGTGATATCCCAGCCAGATGTTGTTGTTGTCGATGGCAATGCCCCGATGCAGTGCAACAAGGGTGCCACAATCATGGCAATCAGAGGCGGGGCCACAGCATTTCCTAGCATGTGGTAGGGTCGTTGCTGGCACAATTGAAATGCCTCTGGAAACCCCTGCAACCGGGCCGCTTCTCGACTTGAGAATCTCCGCCATGCTGGTGTGTTGTCGTTGTCCTGGACGGGAACAAACTGGGATCCCACCATGTATTTGGTGTAGCTACTCTGCAATGTTTTGGCTGGTTTGGTGGTGTCCATCAAGAATCGAGCTTCTGGGTGTTCTTGTGTGTACTTTTGGGCTTGAACCTTGGCAAGCTGATTTGGCGTCAAAGTCAGACTTTCTAGCTCTTCTTTGGAGAGTTCATCTTCCGGGGTTTTGTTGCCATGCAAGATATCCTCTACTCCTCGGCATAGATCGGGCAGTTTAGGAAACTGATATCCTTGCTTATTATGATCAGCAAGCAAGTCTTTTCGAATTCCAGCAATAAACAGACGACATCGTTCTTGGGGAAGTAGATTGACAGCATCCAGTAGCTGTGACTTGACTACATAGCCACAAGCTTCCAGCTCTTTTTGGAGCAACTGATACGTTTTTCCTTGATTGTGCAAATACAATCCTCTGACATTTTCCAATAGGAATGCCTTGGGTTGTTTGTCTTGCAAGATACGAACAATTTCTCGAAACAATTGTCCCCTGGGATCTTGCAGACCCCGTTGCTTGCCACTGCAGGAAAATGGCTGACAGGGAAAGCCACCCACCAACAGATCATGAGAGGGAATCCAATCCGATTGGATGCGTGTAATGTCTCCAGCAGGTCGATCTCCGCCAAAGTTGACTTGGTAATTGGCAATGCAGAAGCGATCCAGTTCGCTGGCAAACACACAGCGACCACCCAATCGATCCAGTGCCACCCGAAAGCCTCCCATGCCGGCAAACAATTCGATGTAGGTAAACAACGAAGCGACATTCCCCTTCTTGTTGCTGTTGGATTGGAATTGTCCACGATCCACAGGAGCAGGTGGCTTGTCGGGACAGCCACCCACTGAGTGACCTGGACGACCACAGTGTTGACACGTCGCTGACGGACAATCCTTGGCGCGGTGATCGGAAGCACCACATTGATAGCATCTGTTCCTTTTTCGTTTCTTCTTCTTCTGCCTCATCTCTTCGTCGTCATGGCTCGGATCTGCCATTGCCACATTCCATACAACAGGAGTAGACTATTGCAGCTTCAGTGTATTCGATCTTCTAGAGCTATTGTATCTCCTTCGGGAGTGCCTGGTACCAGAGACAACAATTCGGCGGTCGCGCTTGCCTCGTTGCTCATCATTGCCTCACCCACTCGACCATGTAACTCCTTGAAACTGTGAGTGCAAACGGTTTACGTGTCCTAAATTGGCTTTAATGCTTCAAGAAAGGAAACTGGCACTTTTACTTGTCGAAATGTCGTAATGGTCATAATATGTGTGGTACTCTTACTTTAATGCCGAAGCTGTATTGAAGAACCTCAAGGATTTAACAATTACACTCAACTTCAACTCACAAATTGCAAAATCGATTCGATTCCCACACTTCACTCTCCCACGACACACGACATCGCTTCTGCATTTCTAGCTGAATCGGATACCGGTACCCCAAGTCTTGGGCTCAACAATGCCTGTCGAACAGATTACCCTTAAAAGGCAACGATGCTCACCAAGACCACATTTGGCAGAATCGAAACGGGCAACCATGAATCACTAAAGCCGTAACAGGGTCCAGCGGGGGTCCAGCGGGGTCCAGCGTCCAAGGACAATCCACTCTGTGCTACGTATTCAAGTTGTAAGGAAGAAGGACAGTCCTTGTGTTGATTGAATCGAATCATCATAATAAAGAGACAATGAACGAAGCCTCCTGCATTTATGTTAGAAGGAAGGATGAACACTTCCAACAACAATGCCAACAGATTCGGGAAAATGTAGAGTCGATGACGGGCATCAATGTGGTGTTCCGTCCACTTTGTTTTGGCGACCCGGAGATGGCACTTTTGGAAGCTGCGCTCAGTGCCAATGTCACTATCAAATTTATTGCCTTGGTATTGGCGGTAGAGCTGCGACCTGGTGAAGCCCAAACATTGGGAAACATCCTTCGGACCCACACCACCGTGGAGACGCTGATCGTTCGCGGCGCGCCCAACGACCAACTGCAAAGGTTGTGGTCGGGGGTGTTTTCAAACACTACATCTCTGAAGACTATCAATTTGCATGGGCTATCGGCTAGTGCTGTCTCGACTTTGGCACATGCTCGAACAGATCATTCATCATTGATCACCAATTTCGGTTTTGTCGAGTGTACATTTTCCGCGGAAGCTGTGGAGGATCTCCTCACCACTCAATTCAATCCACCATTTCAACGCAATGGGAAAAGTCACAGGTTGATAGTCCATGAGTGTATTTTTGAAACTGTGGAAGAAAAACGACGCTTTGCCAGAGCTCTCGCCAGAACGACTTCTTGGCAGTCTTTTGTGTTTGAGGATGAGAAAAGGCTCGACAAAGAAACTGCTGCCATGTTTGCACAGGCTATAGCTGCAAACCATGCACTTGAAGAGGTGGGATTTATTGGTTTGGGAGATGATGAGTTGCAAATCATGACAAATGCCATTGAGAGGAATCACTACTTGATGGGTGCCGAGCTTTTGAGTAAGAACCACGAAGGAGGATTTGAGCAGGAGTGTGAGAAAAGGGTTGGCCACTCCATTTCCATGAACCGGGCAGGGCGCCTCTATTTGCAGGAGTCTATTCAACGACCTGGTGATGCAAGTCTGGAAGAGTTCTGGTTGTCCTCATTGTCAAAGAACATCAATAAACACCCTCTTGTTTATTCTTGGATTCGAAACTATCCCGACATTTTTGTTCGGGTGGCTTTCAGTGGTGAGGAGGACAAGGAGGATATGAGTTGCAAGTTGTTGCTAAGAAGAAGCCCAAAACCATGGGATGAAGAAGGAAGGCTGCCAAGGAAGCACATAGGACGTGATCAATTTGAGAGGTGGATCGGGGCTGCGATGGTCACAGCGATATCAAGCAATGAAAAAACGCGGAAGATACCGGTAGGCGTACAACTACGGGTCTAGTGAAGCGACTGTTTACTTTTTAATGGTCCCAGCTATATATTTTGTGTTTTATTGAAGCTGTACTACACCGCTGCCGTGACCGAGCTAGTTAACAGAGCGCTCGATTTTCGCCAAGGCAGCTCCGTCGGAATTCAAACCAGGGATGCTTCAGGGCTTTTGCTGCAGTCGCTCGTTTGTCCATGTTCATCTGAAGCAAGTATCGGGTGAGGAAGTCATGAATGATGAACTCTTCGTCTTCTTCAATGTCGTAGAACAGTTGAATCTCCTCCAGGCAGAGATGGAGCCCCTGCTCGAACTTTTGAACATCTTGATTGTAGTTGTCGTAACTCTCCATCCACAACCGAGGATAGCCAAAGCTGATCTCTAGCAAAAGACAGCCCACAGACCACATGTCTGCTGTTCGACCCTCGAAACCACCGCGCAAGATCATCTCTGGAGCAAAGAAGCCCGGTGTACCACAGAGCTGATCAATCACCAGGACATCATGCTTTGCGTCGAGACCGTCGTCGCTACGGTTTTCAATGACCTCGACAGAGTTGTCGTCGCATATGGTTGTCGTGTCCGTGCCATTGTAGTTCTTTGAGACCGCTGCCAACCCGAAATCACAGAGACGAATCTGGCTGGACTCGATGCGCTGCCCGGGCTTCAAACATGGGTATCCAGCGCTCATATCCAATGCCGACGTTAGAATAAGGCAGTTCTCAGGCTTCAAGTCAAGGTGAGCAATTCCTCGGGCGTGAAGGTACTGAAGTGGCTCCAAGATCCCAATCATCACTTGCTGCATCCAATCTGGTTGGACCTCCCGGATGTTGGACTCGTGCACCAGGGTATGAAGGTCCAAAGCACCTCGCTCCATAACCAGATAGATGTGTTCAGGTGCGTGAAGGACATCAAGCAGCCCAATGATGTTGGGGTGGTGTCCATGATTCTGCAAGATGCCGACTTCGAGATCAAGTTGCGCCCATTCGGCGGGGTCCTCGAGTCGCTTCTTTTGTTGGATCTTGATGGCAACGCTTCGGTTCGTGGTGGCAGTGTCCGTTGGTTTCTTGGGACGTACTCCAAGGCGAACTTGTCCAAAGAAACCTTCACCCAACATCTTTCCCAAGCTGTAGTCCCCGATGCGGTCGGATTGTTCCTGGAGATCATGGTCGACTGGCCCAATGTGAGGCCACAATGGTTCCTTCTTGGCCTGCAAACTGTGTTGAGTTCGACGTAGCTCTTCCTGGGCCTCATGGAGCTTGCGTTCCAGTTCCTGTCGCTGGGCTCGCTCATGGGAGAGGTCTTGATTCAAAAACAGATTGGCTGCGCGTTCGTGCTGAAGGGCCACTTGGGTGCGTTCCAAGACGATTCCTTGCTCTTCGAAAGCCACACGTAGATTCTGAAACTCATCATCTCGTTCCTTGTCTTGCCAGTAGGAGCGCCACAGTCCTTCCAAAGTAAGGCGATCGGCAATGGGGCTGTCCGATGTACCTCGCAGTAGGGAGACTCGAATGGAAGCACACTTCGAGTGACGCTCATCGCGGACACCGTGCACTCCCGCAGCGTCTTCAATGACCAAATCGCACTCATCAGAAGAGGCTTCGATCTTTCGTAGAACGGCGCTACTACCATCACCGAGGGTAAGGAAGAAAGGATTGTTCTCCTTGTCAGCATCAGTAGCTTCTCCGTCGTAGGCAGAGTCCAGAAGAAGCGTCAATGTCTTGTCCTGAGTGAGCGGGCAGCCACTGAGGTTCTTCTGAAGCACGTCGAGCAATAGATTCATCGTCGTGGAGGAGTTTGTTCGAAGGACTTGTAAGAAGAAGAAAGATAGATGTATTTCTCTCAAGTGCAGCACAATTTGCTGGTCCTGTTCGCTCTCGATGGATTGAGAAATAATGAGACGAGAAGGAGCTTTGATCCCCCCGAGATGTGTTTTGCCCACGACTTGACGGGGCTCAGTCTAACCCAAATGGACACGCCATGTCAAGGGCTCGTTGTGATGGATACCTTTGGTTGCGAGGTTCGTTCAGTCGCAATGGGATGATCAAAAAGTTCCAAAATGTGACGAGCTGAAATGCGGGTCGGTTTTCGAATCCATTTTGAGGTCAGATTGAAAACCCAAGAAAGGTGCGGTTTGCTCTCGGTGTGAGGTGTCTTGAAAGACGTACGGTGTACTTGTGCCGTGCGGCATGTACGGATACCTCTAGTCTGGCTCTTATGATAGATATGCGCATGTCCCATCAAATCGGGACTCTTTAGACTGAGGTCACTCGACTACATAGAGGCTTGAACTCAAGTCGACTGGTTCCGGAAAGGTGGTCTGTGATGAAGCGACCTGAACTTTCCAAAACCTTCTAGCCTTATCCTTAATTAATACACCGCACAAGCCAGTTAGTTCAAACCATCGCAAGTACTGAGAGAAACGCAGGCGTGCGTTCCGGAGGAGAAAACAAACAGCAGCAATCCCCCGTCCACCAGGCATTTTCTTCAGTCCACCGTTCTCGAAAAGCAACAACCCTCCTCCAAGACGAACGAACCATCATGAGCCAACCGCAAACCATTGCGCAACCAGTGCCACCAGCGCAGGCGGCACAGCAGCAGCCGCCGAAGCCCCGAAATCGAACATGGGATGAGAATTATGCTCAGCTTTTGGTGTACAAGGCGCAGCATGGGCACTGCGACGTGCCGTTGAATCACAAGAACGACCGAGTATTGGGCAAGTGGGTGGCCCATTTGCGAGAGAACTGCAACCAGAGCAGTCTCTCAACTGAGAGGCGTGAAGCCTTGAATGCCATTGGCTTCAATTGGAATCCTCATGAACAAAAGTGGATGGAAATGTTCCAGCGGCTTCAGGGCTTTAAAAAGTCAGAGGGTCACTGCAAGGTGCCAACGAATTGGAAACCAGACAAAAAGTTGGGCAAATGGGTGATGCGCCAACGAGAAAAGCGAAAGAATGGGATTCTACCAGATGCTCGACGAGAAGCCCTCGAGTCGATTGGGTTTGTCTGGAAAGTGCACAAGGTGGAGCAGAACAAGGAGACACGAAAAACGCAACACGTTGATGAAAAGTGGCAAGAACGCTATCAATCCTTGGTCAAGTTCGAAAAAGAGAATGGCCACTGCAATGTACCAAAGGTCTATGACAAAGACCCACAGCTGGGAAAATGGGTCCAGGAACAGCGAGTCATGTACCAACGCAATTTGCTCAAAGCGGAGCGAAAGAAACTTCTCGAGGACATTGGATTCATCTTTAGTTATCGAGCACAGAAAATCCAACAGGATTGGAACCAAATAGTATGAACATTCTAATGCTCGCTGAGGTCGGAGGGTGTGCGTTAGGTGTATTTGTTCTTTTGAGGTTGGAGAACCAA